GCACAGTCTGTACAGGGCTTCAAGACTGATGAAATAGATTGTCCAACCTAATCTTTGGTCAGAACCATCTGAGACCAGTTGACTGTGACTGGAGGAGCCACTGATGGATGAAGTCCACCAGCCAAGCTTTTTGCTAGCTGGTCAGACGGCATCAACTGGTGAACTTAGCAAACCAAGGGATACTTGTGAGCCTCTTTTGGATAGGAGGTATACTGCCAGGGTCACCACCAGTGACAGCAAAGCCTGGTGCTTTACAGTACTGATGGGCAAACTGCACACAGTAATTCACCATTCTGCCAATTAAAGACAGGGATCTAATGCTCATCAGGATGTAGGGGTACCTAAGAATACCCACTACAACAGTCCTGATGTTTAGGAATATCAACCTGGTGTTGCTTGAGAGTTTTATTTTGCAGTCACAGGTCCTGTGATTGAGATGAAGCAGATCTTGCCTCTTGACATTTAAGGGTGTATCTAAAGAGAACCTATATCATTTTTTGAAGTCTTTCAAATAAGTTACAGCTTGGAATGGCTGAACTTGGGAACAGTTGATGTAATACTTGATCTTGAGATTGGATAATCAAGCACTTGATTGTATTGAGCATGGAGCAACTCTGAGACTGGGACACAGTAAGAGCCACATTGCATTAACAGTTCGACCTGGTGGAATATAATGCTATCCATCATACTGTATTCAAAACTTGAAAGAAAAGTCACACACATAGTTTGGCCACATATGTGGATGACCCGTGATATTCACATGGTACAGCATACTCTGCAATGCCTTTATAAAACCACGAGGATATCCTCATAGATAAGTTCTTTAAGAAGTTACATGGTGAGTTAATTAAGCATCATATGAGTGTGAAAGACATTTTCTCCATAATGGAGGCAGTTTCTAGTACCACAAGAGTTCAGAGTTGTAACTCAGAGCTGGATCGTGGTTTGTATGTGCCTTTGAAGATAAAGAGGTGAGATATAGAGTTATTTAATGATACAGGAACTGCTAGGATACTGGTTGATCTTGCTATATATCAACCACTCTGTGTGAAGCCACAACTCTGGCCAGTTAACAATTACTTTATTCTTGTGACTGGTGACAGACTAGATGTGAATGGAAAGAGACATCTCTAATTTTGTCTATGTATAGTCAACCATAGAAGAAGGGTAATCATAACCAATCTTGGCTTTTTCATTGGTAGCTTTGGGATGAACATACTATAAAAATTATTATTCAGTTTTGTCTGTGCAACGGGTGAACTGCATTTCCATGAGAAAGTTATCCAATACCAGTGATATGAGACCCAGAACAGTGTACAGTGGTTATTTCTTGGTTTTCTGTGGATGAGGTCTAGTGCATTGATGCCATATAATGTGATGATAAAGCCAATGAATATAATGCTCTGTTTTCTGTCCAGAAAGCAAGCAACATTAGCTCAATTAGTAATCTGTTTGAACAGGAATGAAGCCTTAGTTTTGTTTTTGTATAGGCAGATGATTATATAACTTTCCAAAGGAATGGTCATCAGTATTGTGAAACATGTGGAGATGACTGAGACTAATGATATTGCTACTGTTGCTTCTGTCACTCCATGTTCAAGATCAATTATGTGGTTGCTGACAAATCTGAGGCCACTGGTTGAGGACTGTGCAAGCAATCTGGACTTAACATAGTGACAGAAGCTTAGTGATTTGTTGGTTGAATATGCCAATGTATTGATGAGACTAGGTTGCTGATCGAGTTGAATAACATTAACTCACCATCACGTAAATACAGGTGATGCATGTCCAACTAAACAACCACTTCTCTGGAGAATTAATGATATAGTTATATTTGAAATACAGTGGATGTTAAAGAATGGAATTATACACCCTTCAGAGAATGCATGGTCATCTCTAATAGTGATTGTCAGGGTGCAGATTAATGTCTGGAAACATATGAAGGAGCCTAATGTTTCAACACTTTAGACCTGGCATCGAGAATCTGGAAAGTCGAACTAGATGATGAGCAGATCTAAGACTGTTTTCAGCATTTGAGGTTTTGGTCATGCCATTCAGCTTGTATAGTATGTCCACCACTTTTGTAAGGCTGATGGAGCTTACACTGCAGGGGCTGTAATAAGAGAGATAGCTGGTCTACGTGATGATGTCTTTATGTTTGACCTTACATTTGAGTCAGCTACTGAAAACTTGAGTATGATACTTTGGAGAATAAGAAACTAGGAAAGTGTGTACTTGTGCATGGAGACAGAATTTCTTAGTAATATTTTGGGTAGAGGTGGAGTCTCTACTGACCTTGTGAAGATTGCAGCATTTTAAGACATGCCTTAACCTGTGATCAAACAAGAGTTATATGGTTTCCTTGGTTTTGCATTTGTCATTGTTGATTTGTGGCAAACCCATCCAGATCACCTCACCAATGTCTTTTCTCACTAAAGCTGATGTGCATCTGAGATGGACTGAGAAATGCCAGCAAGCATTCTATGTCTCTAAAGCATACTTTAGTTGAACTCTAGTGTTGGCATATCCATGACAGGACTGTAAGTTCTTGTTGACATTGATGTCAGAAATAATGGAATTGGAGCAGTGTTACTGTGATTGCAGGATGGTGTAGATACTGTACAAGAAAGAAAGAACTGATTACATCTGTGGTATTTATCAAAAACTACTGACATTACCTGTATGTTAGAAAGTTCACCATTTAGGTGGATCATGCATCACTGAAGTGCTTTATAAGCTGTAAATTCTGGAAGGAATAATTGCATGTTGGATTACAATGTAGCAGGAATATGACTTTATTGTATGGAATTGTCTGGGACAATAACATAGAAATGCCAACAGATTGTATGACTGCATGGTATGATTGTATTCATTCATTAAATGCCCTAACTCTGGACATCACCTGTGAGTTAAAGCCATTTCTGCCATAGTTACATTAACCCATATGCTAGATGAAACCACAAGTGGTTGGATATCACAATTAACACTTCAGGAGGTCCAGGAAGAGCAATTAAAGGATCCAGATCTAGTGTAGGTACTTCTTGCTGTGCAGCAAGTTAAACTTATCCATCTCAGATTGAGGAATTTAGGGTGGATGCACATAAACTGTGGCATTTGTACAAGCAGCTACAAGTACAGGAAGGTGTGCTGTACAATTATCAACCACTAAGATGTGGTTCTGAATCTATTTTATAACTAGTTGTCCCCAGAGCTCTGATGCAGGAAATTCTTCAGACTTTGCATAACATAAAGACTGGAGGATATCAAGGTATTACATTTACTTGTGCTAACACTACAGTGGTTCTACTGGTCATAATTGAGTTGAGATGTTAAGCAATGGTGCAAACATTGTATGGATGTGCTGCCAGGTGGAAAAACTGACATTAACAGGTTAAACTCTAGCAGAGAATTGTTGGATCTCCTTTACAGAGAATAGTCCTTGATATTGCTGATTCTCTGCATTTGATTGAGCAAGGTAAATAGTTCAAAATATTTTTTAAGCACACAGTTTTAATCAATATTTTTTTAACATTGTTTCAGTGCAAGGTGCAGTCAAAATACATAGCAGTGCATGCTATGAGTGTAAAGCTGGAGGTAAAAAGTAACAACTACACAATGTTACTTTATAGTCCTGTAACTTGTATCTGAAAAGGAGTCTAATAGGAATGCAATGTGAGTGTTAATAGATACCCATGATCAGAAGTTAGAGGTGGTTACTTGTGCAATGAATTATTTGTTTTGGTTGTGTAGGAACCAGAATATGCAGTCTCAACCTCATTGTTTGCATAATAATCAGGCAGTTGTGAAGAGAATGTGGCTGAGTTATGGGATAGCTGTGTTAACCATTTTCATGGCAATAATGACGATGGGCAGCACAGGCGATTGTTGGTTGAGTACAAGACCAGTTGAAGCCTGTGACACCAAGACATTTATAGCTGAAAGGGATACATTGTTTATAAACAGCATACATGTGAGTACATGTAATTCACTAGGAATATCATTTGACCACGACAATATTTTTAGCACTTTGTGTTTAAAAGTAATTTAGAACAGAGAAATGTTGTAGCTCAGCCATTACAGCTTTAAACTACATTTCTAGCTGAACTTCTCACTAATTAGAATTATTTTTATGTTACATTTTCAATCCTGACTTTATCGTTTATGATCAGGTTTTTAGCCCTTCTGGATATCGTGTCTTCAACGAGCAACTTCTGTTACCTTTTCATTCTTATTCTTAATCTCTCTCTGTTTTTATAACACAACACAGAAAGGTAATTTACATGTCCTGAAAAGAATAGCATCATAGTTTCATTATATAATGCTATTTTTTTCTCATTATGGAACACATTCTCAGGTTCAGCAACTTAATTGTCAAGGTGTACAGGTTCTTAATAGATACACAATGAGCTCTTTTCCACCTAGATGTAGTCCTTTATAAATATACTCTTTTAGATATTTTTGTGGTTTGGAAAAATATTATTTCATTTTGTTATACATTGCATACAATCTCTTTCATTTCTTCAAATTCATTTAAAGTCAAACAATTCAGATTTTCTCAGTGGTGCATTTTCTCTTAGAACTCTTGTTATTCTGGGAACCTACAGTGTCACTATTACAAGAATAAATGCCACATCAAGAAGAAAACCAGTAACAGTGTCTAGGTATAACCAGTTTCAACTTAAACTGGAAAAATTCTATACTTGCCCATCCTCGTTGGCTAGGTTATCTATACACTTTATGCAAGCCATATGATCATAACCGTATTTGTTGTTTCTGAAAATTATATAAAAATAACTTCATCATTTTTGTTCTAAGCCAAGAAAAAATGATATGTATATTAAGTGGATAAAATTGTCAATACATCATTTTAATATACAGAAATAATTGTAGCTATCATTGAGGTATGGGTTGAACTTAGAATAAAATGAGCAGTTCACCCTTAAGTACTGTACAGTTAGCCATCAAGTATATTCATATTACTGTGTTTCTTATTTTAAAAGGTATACAAATTTGTTGGTGATGAAGATGAAAAACAGTCAGCTTTGACTGAGAAACAGCTCTCAGATATTTGGGATCAACTTTATCAGCTGTGGTTGGTTAAATATTCAGGCACTAGCGAAGTTGAAGAAACAATAACATGGAGTACTGTGTTAGATGGTCTATCAAATCTTGATATGACTCCCTTTGTGAAATATGTGAAGAACAATGTGATGGTTGTGCTAAAGGTATGCTAGATATAAGATAATTTGCAGATAGTATTCCCATTGGCAATGTCAAATGCAAGTGTTATAATTATAATAGTAAACAGTGAACATAATTATTGTTGTTCTTTTTGATATAACACCCAACCAGTTCCCAAGTGGCTCAGTAGTAAGAGTATGAAAGCTTTGGGTACCCGTTTTGGGCACAGCACAGAAAAAAAAGCCCATCATGTAGCTTTGCACTTAACAACAAATAAAGAAACAAAACATCCAACTAATTTACTAAAATGCCTGCATTGTAGGAATTAAACTAAATAGTTATTTTTGTGTTCTTCCGCGAACATGAATTTATATGAAACATAAGTTAAAGAAAGAAGAATGTTATTACACATCTTTCGCTGTTCTGTAACAATTCGAACATAACACACTTTCACAGTGAGTATGTTTTAATGTATAATCTAAGTATGTTGAAGTGATTTCTGTCAGTCCAATCATTCTTTAAATGAGAAACTGTGATATGGAAGTACAATAGTGTGTCATATCTAAACAAACATGTCGCAGTAACATAATTTACAGAATTTCGGAGTTAACTTTCATAAGATTAAAAATTTTTTATTTGTAAAACTGAGATAAATAAGTTGTTTTAAAATATAGTATAGGTTACATTATAAAGTGAATGCTGAGATTCATCATAAAAGTAGCAGATAGATGAAACTTTCTGACAGTGTGAACAAGGTCAGTTGGGAAAGTCCAGATGTTTTAAAACTTTCAAAGAAAATAGCGCAAGATGAAATTATTTCACTCTTTACATACAAGTAGATGTATTATGTGATATTATATATAATATTTCAAGTCAGTAATTCCACATTCAAGATAAGCAAACATTATTTTGGGGCATAAATAAAAGTTAGTTGAAAGCTCTAAACTTTTTCTTTGCAGTTCAGAATACTTCTCTAAGTTTCATTATCACATGATTAAATCACTATGATTGATCTTAGTGTTAAGTTCCCCTATCCACTTAAGCCTTTGTGTTAGTCTTTTAAACAATTCCTTAATATCAGTTAAGGACAATGTTTTTGGCTTTATGTATGTGTATAACCAGTACTAACTAATGAACAGTTTAGCATTCTTTATAGCAAGAACTGTTTAAGCTTGCCTTTTCAAAAGGACTGCAAATATGCAATGCAATATGTAGATCATAACTAAAAGAAGATATGAAGCCTAGTAACCTTACTTTTTGTAGTGTAAAATATTAGAATATTAGGCAGTGTTTGGTACCCACATTGCTGGATGAGAGTGTATATACATTATAATGATTTTTTTGGTTAAAGGCTCCACATAAAAATTCAAAAGTAGTCTTGAATTACCTTAGGTGATTTGTTGCAGATGATTTTATTGTGGCTTCTTAAGTTTATAAAGTCACATATTCAACTATACAATAATATGAAATAGTGTAAAAATAAAGAAATATGAATTCATATATGTATTCTTAAATTTTTTCAATTAAAAAAATTGCAAATGTGTATTTTCTCAAGTGATTTTGCATTCTTTCTATGTGGTTATATATTTTTCTTCATGGTTTTGTGTATTGTGATTAATATCAACTTCTGATTAAAGCAAGCTAAATATGGAAATAAAAACTCAAATTATATTCCTAGTATATGAGCATGACTAATTAATCATAGTGTTCAGACTATATTACTTAGAATGATTAGAATGCAATGTTTCATTAGTTGGGTACCATTGTTGTTAGCAATATTTTGGGCCATAAACTCAGTAATATCTCGCAAGGTTTGGCCAGATCAAGAGACTTAGGTAAGTCCTAATTCCATATACTAAGTTAACAGTGCAGAATAATCATTATAATAAAATAATCAATATAAAATTTATTTTTTGGTAAGAGTAGTGCAAGATATTTCAATGAATGTGAGCTGAAATACTTATGAATGGATGAAATTAATAATAGTAAATTAAATTCACATGTTAACTTTGCTTCTTAATAGCTCTGTGTAAGACCTCATTTGCCAGTTGGCAATTAACCAAGTTCCTTGTAATAAGTATAGCTTGTGACTTCCAGAAATAGAAAGGTGTCTTTTCTGTTGGTAAATTGAGTAATGGCCTGAGATTTCCCTACCTAAGCATTCAAGCATGACGGGATGGAGGTTATGTGTAAGAGAGTGAAAGAAGTGTGTGAACCTGGTTTAAATTATTGAATTTTTCTTGTATTAAAAGACAGGATTTCCCCGGTTGGGCAAACTTTATGCAGTATTTTGTAGGACTATTAGATTTTGCAGAACTTAGATATTTTAAAGAGACTTTGGTAACACTTGTAACTTTTGTTTTAGCTTTATTTTAATTTGGGTTTAGTTTTATACATAATGTTGTAGCTTACTGAACAGGGGGACAAACACTGGACTGTTGAGAGAGAGCTCACTGAAGTTTCACTTCCTTTCTTTTTCTTGCCAGTCAAACATGCCTCATTTTCTGATACTTGTGATTGTGTTTTGATAGTGTGAACAAACATTTTTGTTTGCATGCCTTTATTGTTGTGAAGTTTTTCTTCTAGATAGTAATGGTTATAAATTGGGGAGATCAATACACTCCTAAATCTAGTATTTTCTGAACCTCTCTGAGGGAAAATTGTTGCACAGGAAATACCACAGAGTAGTAAGGCAAGGAAAATTTTGGTACTGTGGCCAAGGATATTGGTATTGTGTAGTACTATATTCTTTCTGGGAGGGTTTAGCAGCCACATTTGTAAAAGCTGTTATAAGTACTATGGTTGTCTTACATGAATATGGTTTTCCCTACAAGAGAATGGGTATACAACCTGGAGGGGGATAAATCTGATGTCAGAACTGAATGGTTTGCAGGAAGGGTGGTTAGATGAAAGGGAAGTCCTCTCCATGATCTAGGACTTTTGCTGATGCTGCAGAGGTTCCTCTCCACCATTAATCAGCACCTAATAACTAAAGATGGATAGTGAGGAGAACCAGTGCACCTAGAAGGGCTTACAAAACTCTCAACCTCAGATTGAGCCCAAGCAATATGAAAACCTGAATGATCGAAGACTGTTGGAATGGTCCACAACTAAATGGGGCAGCCTCTACAGAACCCTACTAAGCCACTATTACATTACTACTACTACTACATTTACTTTCCATTTCAGCTAGGTACTCAAACAGAAAGGTCATTCTTTGTGTGTTCCAAGTTGATACTTAGTATCTGACCCCCCTTTTCACAAGGATTGTGGTATTCCTAATATTTTTCTCTTTTTTTTTTTTCTGGTAGTTTGTGTTTGTTTGTTTGTTGTTTTTGTTTTTGCTTTATTTGTGGCATTTTTCCATTCTCTTCTGTCCTCCTCCCCTATTCTAACACAGTGTGGTGTGAAAGATAAAGACACATCTAGACATTACATTTTTCAAATAGATTGTGGTTCAGATAATTAGTTATTTGTTGAATTATTATCCCCCTTTTGTCCATCACTAAACTAGTCACTGGATTCATTTTTTTTATGACTTATTCCAATGGATTTGGTATCATTACAGTACTAGTACTCTCTAGGGAGTAAGAAAAATCATTAGACATGTTTTTTATCTAAGGTTTATGAAATGTTTTTAATTTCATTATATGAATGAGTCATAAAGGTATGCTTTGGAAAAAGGATATAGCACAAAAGTGATGCAAAATAGCTTCAGATGTAATTTATTTTAATTTGTTAACATTTTGAAATTATGTTTTAGCATACACTCAGTACCTATTGGCATGAAAACTAGTACCCTGTAATGTTGTAAAAGTATGTTTTTTAGATTTGCTTAAATCATTGTCATTTGTTTTCCTTATATTTTTTGATAACCAAAATAAACTTGTTGAAAAAATATATATATATATATATAGACTGAAATACATTTATAGCAGGTTCATTTACATTTGTGCTTGAAATATTTATATAAAAACATATTTTATATTGTGAAAGAATAAGTCAATATCTTGCAATTAAAAATTCAACTAACTTTTTTTTGTTTTATCATTACAAAACCAGTAAAGAAGGTAATGAGCATGCCTATCCATATCCTTTTGGCATTGGGGTAGTAGTGTAGTTTTTGAAATCTGTGTGAATGCAGCATTTTTTATGTCAAAACAGAATTCCTATTCATAATGCCAATCAGTCATCATGAACAGGTTTTAAATATCAAATATCATGAGATTCATCTTCAGGGATAACATGCTTAGCTATCTTCCAGGCACACTCAATTGCAGTGAATTAGTAAAAGTCCAACTTCTCTCTCATTCAAACTTAGTGAACTAGTAAAAGTCCAACTTCACTCTCATTCAAATATAAATGCTAATACTGACACTGATTATGAATTAATTACAAATAAGATATAAATTTATATATAGATGAAAAATATATTATGAAATGCATGATATTCATTAAAGTTGTAAAATCAGATGTTTTTTAAAACACATTTAAACTGAATGCTCAGCTTCTTGATCTAAGATTAAGTTTTAGATCTTTGCAGTTACTAATATCTTTAGTTCACTCGAGTTTACTTAACATTATTTTAGTATCATATTTTTGCTATGTTTAATGGCTAAGAAAAACAAAGTGTGTGGATTTTAAAATAATGGAAATGACTGGATTTTAAAATTTTAAATTACTGATGACCAGTAGATTGCTATTATCAATTTTAAAACATCTGTGAAGAAGACAAAAATAATGTTGCCGACTACTTTATTAAGTTTCGTGGGATGGATGGCAGCAGAGCTTGCTACCATAACAGTTTCATTTTTCAGTACCATTTTTATTATTCTTTCACTTTCTTTCCTGCTATTGACATGTTTATTTAATTTTAACTCATGTTACATTTCTTTCCCCAGCTTTACTTTTCTTTTGCATTTCATTTCCTTTCTATGTTTCCCTTTAATAAAAAAAAGAAAAAGTTCTAGATCTGAGATCTGATCCATATTACCTCCTGATTATGTATGCGTTTTATGGTTTAATTTGTGATAAAACTGTTGGTTCATAAGTCAAAATTATTGTGATTTGTATCTAAGTGTATTTATTTGATGAAGAGTTAAAAGTAAAAACTTAAAATCATGTATTAGCTGTATCTGATGGTATATTGCAAGATATTCTCTGTTTTTCTTTCTTTAGTTTTTGAAGTCATGTTGGATATTTGTAAAAGAAAATCTGGCTATAGTTTTTCGCCTCTTTCGATCAATTCTAAGAATGCTATTTCATAGTACCAGAGCAATTTTAAACATCATTATTGGCTTGGTAAGTTTTAATTTGATTGAATCTTTTTTTTTATGTCATTCATGTAATTGCAAATTACTAATTAAGTTTCTGTTAATGTACATTAAATTGCTTATAAGTTATTTTTGTAGACTTTGAGCTGTGTTTGAATTCAGTATTTATATATTTATATTTAAACTGGGTTCCTGTTCTTAACATCATTTCAATCATGATAAGAACAGGTTTCAGAAAGATAACGTACTGTAAAGAACTAATTTTCTTTATCATGTGAATGCCTTACTTGAGTTTCTTTAATGTTTAACTACTTGATATAGGGAGGAGAAAGTTCTATGAAATATGGTGCTCGTATGGGGTGACCACTATTGCTGGTTGTTTATAAAACTTAAGTGGAAGAACTGGAGAACAAAACTGTATATGTGATCAATGCACTTCTTAAACAGGTGGAGGTATGTTTTGTCTGGATTCCTGGTTAAGATTCTCCCCTATGAAGATTTTAATTCAACATCTAAATAGCTGAATCCTAAAGTTTAGTTTGTCATGAAGACTTGTATCATGTATGAAATCAAGCATCCTGAAAAGTATGCTGATTTCAACTAACTGCACCTGTAACAAAGAGAAACAACACTGCAGAAGTGAAACATTAGGAAGTTTTTATTTATGGGAATCACTAGCCTAAACAACGTATCTGTGAAATATAATATGTTCCAAAGATGTAGTAAACTAGTATTTTCATTACATTTTGTCTTCCATAATGTCTTTTTCCAGAAGAAAAACTGCAACAACTTCTGAAAAACTTAATAACTGTGCACAGGTCTGAAATGCTTTGAACTTTTTTTTTAAAAATAAAAGCCCAAGGAATTGAAGAAAAAAAATGTATGTAAAATAAATTGTGATTGTAGTGAAATATATAATTAGGAAGCAGAATGTTCACTGTATATTGTATACAAAAATATTTTTTTCAAACATTCTTACTTCAAGTTCAGTAATGTGACTTTGTTGAACATTTCAAGACATGAAACCAATTATCATCACTAGAAGACATATTTGATCATTATCATAATTTCTGAAGGATAAAAAAGATGCTTTAAAATAGTACTACATATCCTGAAGCACAGTATGTACCTGGTAGAAGACTAAACAGAGATTGAGTCTTGGAACAATTCTACATTATCATATTGTATTGACCATATTGCTTATTTTATGTTTGTACTGTGTGAATGCCCATGTACATTTTAATTTTTCCTCTATTATTTTTCAGTAGCACTTATTTGTATTACGCATCATGGGGTACATGGATAGGTTTGATTTTTAACTTATTCAAGTAGATTCTTAAAGAAATAGTAAACTTGAAGTATACTCATGTTTGTTATTATCTGTTCATGATAAGAGGACGATATTTTAGAAAGGTTATTTTCCTATGATTTCTTTATTTCAGCTAGAAAGTCTAAGCTCAAGTTTTGAAGAGATTGAGAAAATTGATATACAGTTGTTTTGGAGTCTCTTTTTTTAATATTCTAAATAACTGTTGTTCTACAGAGAAATTATGATTTATTTTTGTTGAAAATGATAGTAAAACCTGAAAAAATTCCAATTTTTAGTAGTCCAATGTTTGAGGTAATTGTAACCCATTTACTCAGAAATTGATTGATATGATTTTGATGACTGAAAAAAATCCTACAGTATTTTTTTTTTAGGTTATATTTACAACGGCCTTATTTTACTTATTGTCAATTAGTGGAGAGACATACAAACCAGTGGAAGTAATCAGTATACTGGTACCTTCAAGTGAAGAAGGAAACAGAATGGGTAACATGATGAAAAGTGCAATCCAGGGAGTATTTCATGCTTCTTTCAAGAAAGCTACAATCTATGCATTATACACATGGTTAATTCATACCCTTTTCCAGGTGATGCTGGTTTACATGCCAACAAGTATGACTTTTGTTTTTATATTTTGGCTGAAAAAACTTATTTTTAATTGAAACTGGTTTACATGTAAGTTAACTATTTTTCCATATTTTACCTTCTTTGCATAGGGCTTTGCACCTTGGCATAACCTTGACCATTTACAACTCTTGTTACAAAGTGATATTGAATATAAATGTAAAATAATTTTTGTGATCATCAGGCAGGCAGTAGCACTGCCTATGTAGGGATGGCTGAGATTGTTCATCAAAATGGTATTTTGAATATCTTCTCAATTGATCATCAGAACTTTACAATACTGTATAGTGTTTCTTTTTATAACAATATCTATGTAACGACTGAGTCACAAATTCTGGGAATGTCTGTAATTATCATAGCAAAAAGTTTGAATTTCTTATTATTCTTTCTTCTGTTTCTTTTTATTACATAATAACTCAAAAACAAATCAATGGTATCAATGAAATTCACCAAGGAGACATAGGTTTAAAGGAATTATCCATTTTTATAAGTATTATAAATAACTAGTAGTAATTTAAAAAAATCTAAATTCTGATACAGTCTTACCTTCTCTCACAAAAAGCTATCCTTATGTTCGTCTGCCCTCTAAGCAGTGCCAAAAAATGTTTGTGATCAGTGCACCAGTCTGTATACTCCATCTGTTTTGTGTTATTTCTGAATATGTGCATATCATGCTACTACTTTACACCAATAGTATTGTACCACATTTACTGGTGCAGTTAGCTCCCTCTGCTATTCTCGATTGGCACAGCATTGTTTAGACGTGTGTTTCTTTGTATGTGGTTACTGTTTATGAACATGCTTCATTTCCATTTTTTTTAAACAGTTTAATTTTACAGTGTTTGCATTTATTTCTTGTTACTGAATTGCACAAGATTGTAGTATATAGGAAGTTGCAATCAGTGTAACGACTATAGAATTTCCCATTACAGTCGAAAATCACTACTGGTACGACTTCCCAGGAGTCGGGTTCAACTTTATCTGCAGAGGAGGTACAGGCTTTAATTCACAGGGAGCTTGATTCATATGTTTGGCTGGTTATTTCTTCTTCTTCTCAACCTGACATTATTTCTGAGGAAGTATTCATGATGGTAGAAAAACACGTGGATTCAAGAAGTCTTGATAGAAATGAATAAAAACCATATAACCCAAGCACTTTTGAAATTTGGACCTTTGTTCTTCAGGGGCAAACTGGGAAGTCCAATGAATAGACTCTTTGGACTCTCTTTTTCCTGTACCTTTAACCAGTTGCTGTACTGCAATATCCTTCACTTTGGAGGAGAATTGTTCTTCTTTTTTCTTCCTGTTGCTTCCAGTTTTCCCAGGGGATCTGTGGTAAGTTTTTCAACATTTAAACTTCACACTGGGTTGATATACCCAATTGTAGGCTCTGTTCAGATGCCCTTTGTGTGGCTTTGCCCTTATTTACAATAAGCATTTCAATCCTGTCATCCACTGCAATCTCCCATTGTCTGCTTTGTGTAGCTGTTTCTTCCTCACTGGGGTACCATCTTCCACCTGTTGCCATCCTTCACTCTTTGGTGAGACTGTAACTTGGTAAGTTTTCTTTCTTTTGTTACATATATTATTTTTCAGGGGCTTGTCCCATGTTTTGACCGGGATTCTGCTCTATGGTGAGTGGTGCCTGTTCAGGTATACTTCAATCATTTAGAATTATACCAAAACCCACACTGTAAGGCCATATTGACTTTATTTTAATAATTTCCATGGCTACAAAACACACACTGTTTTTTACAATCACTTGAACTAGAGATGAGGTGTTCCAAAAGATTGCTCATACGTTATTTCTCTCGATATATTTGGTTCATGAATATGCCTGTTCCAGACTGTACTAACTCATGGATTTCATAGGTGAAGGAGAAGCAATTGCTGCCCATCCCTGCCATTGCTTAGATCGAATAAATTGGGTTTGGTCAGCTTTTCAAAAGCAGGTTTTGTGATCACCCATTGCACTGTCTCTGGTGTGAACATTCCTCAGGACTCTCCACCGAATGTTTTCTCCCCTGTTTCTTTCATTGGAGTAAGAGGGTCCTTACCACTTTCCAGTTCCAAGCCGCTGGGGTGGTAGACCATGGAGGCATCCTTCTGAATGACAGATATACAATATAAACAATAGAATCCATTCAGTTGAGAGTAGGGCAGAGTTATTCTGCTGGTGTAGATGATGAGATACCCTCCAACTGGATGCTCTATCTCTGTATAGATAGTGTAATGAGTTTTTTCTACATACGTTTGACTTGTTTTGAATATAATAAAACAGGTGAATTGTGTACTGTCCATTTATTGCCAACAAGTCACAGATGCATACTGTAAAGAATCCGCAGCTCATATTAAAAACCTGACAGTCCACATGCTTTAGCCACAATGTTGTTATTACAATTTTTTCCATCCTCAACCTCCTAATGCTGAGGACAGGTTATGAAACTTAGTCTGTTTGGTTGAGGTTGAGAATGTACATAGCTTATTCCATTTCTATAGCTTGCACCTATCAAACCATATTTTGCTTGTGCAAATAACTACACCAGCCTCTCCACCTTTGTAATGTGGGATACTAGCTTTATGTGAGTAGAGATAAGGCTGTATTGGAAGTTAATATTTTCTTACACTGAAAATATATTTCTGATAGGTACTTCCAACCCTTCTTCCCCAATTCTGGTGTTCTCATTTTGGAGCCTGCCAATTTTTGAAAGTGTGGATTGAGCATGAATAGCAGAGGGAGCTAACTGTGCCAATATAGATTGGTGCAATACTATTGGTGGAGAGTAGTCACATGATATGTACATGTTATATATCAATGATGCAAATGCCATTCCTACTCTCTTGTTTGCAATCTTTTTAAAGGATTGATATTAGCCATCCCTACCTTTACTTCCTTTTTTGAAAAGTTTTTTTCTTTACTTGTGGAAATATCTCTTGACTAGTCAATTTAAATGTTCCATTGATTTTATAAATATGGTAAAGGCTAACTCATTCACTCGTGTTGCTTGGAGTATCATTTTCTTGATTTTGATTTTGTAGAAAAAGGTGTTTTTCTTAGAGTATTGTCAGGACTTAGAGACCCCTATTCACTTATGTAATATCTTGATATTTCAAATTTAATTATATAGGAAAAAAACAATATATAT